ACGACGGCCTCTACGTAGTGTCACACATTGCCGATGGATACCAAGAAACAGCATTTCTAGGCACGGAACTCCATGCACCAGTTAAGAGCGAGCTTAAGGTTAATGAAAAGGAGAGATACTTGCTGTATCACAGACGCTTCGCACACCTAGGACCTGCAAAGATTGCTAAACTCCACGAAGTTACAACTCTCCAGAAGAAGATTCAAGTTCCAGAGAAGATAGAAATCTGCGAAGTGTGTTCTCTGACGAAAATGAAGAACAGCATCCCTAAGCAGCTGAGAGAGCATAAGGCCACGAAGCTAGCCTTAGTACAGTTTGACATTGCAGGACCCTTTCCAACATCTCTGCGAGGAAACAGGTGGTTCCTCCTTATTATTGACAGTTACACGCGAAAAAACTGGGTTATCCCGCTGAAGAAAAAGGGAGACGCACAAAGGGAACTCCAAATCTTGAAGACCTTTGTAGAACATCAAACTGGCGAAAAGGTTAAAGCTGCTGGAACTGACAACGCACCAGAACTTCTACAGCAAGCCGAGGAATGGAGAGTTACACAGGGCGTGGAAATTCAGCCTACAACAATTGCTTCCTCACACCAGAATGGACCAGCTGAGCGAAACATCCAAACCGCTGAAGCTGATATGAGAGCAATGCTGAAAGACGCTGGTTTACCAATTGAGTTTTGGGATGAAGCTGTCGAAGCAGACGCATACCTGCGAAACCGCACAAACACAGGACCCACGATCAATGGAAAGCAAGTCAGTCCTGAAGAGGCATTCACAGGAACGAAACCATCCATTGACCACATCCGTGTATGGGGGAGCAAATGCTATTCTTACATCAACCCCAAAACGATTCCAGCAGACCAACGACATGACAAGCTCGTGGACCGTGGCAGAGTTGGAGTATTCATGGGATATTCTGAGACAACAAACAAGCAGTTCAAGTTCTATTCGCCAGAGCTTGGATACACCTCAAGGACAAGCCGATTATCAGTGGACGAATACACCCCTGGAGGAAAAGTTGAACTACGACTGCGAAACATACCAGCTGGACCACAAGGGACGCAGAATACGATGCCAGACCGAAAACCAAGAGGAAGACCTAGGAAGGATCTGGAATCATCTCCTGCAGAACCAATGGAACCACCTCCTGCCAAATCAATGGAACTATCTCCTGCAGAACCAATAGAACCATCTCCTGTCGAACTAATGGAACCATCTCCTGTCGAACTAATGGAACCATCTCCTGTCGAACCAATGGAACCATCTCCTGCAGAAATAGTGGAGCCAGTTCCCGAGAACCCAATAGAACTGTCGTCGGCAGAGCTAACTCCCGAACCAGTTAAGCGTCACAGAGGAAGACCAGGGAAGCTAACGACTATTCCCCCTACTGCACCATCTGATGAGCGGGTTCCTAATCTTGTGGACGAAGAGGGACCCGAAGAACCGTATACCCAGTCTGTACGAGAAGAGGAGGCTCCACGATACTTCACCAGACAAGCCAAACGAAAGAGGTCTAACGAAGAGGTTGTTGAGGACGAGAGATTTAGCAAGATCGTTAAAGCTATGCTAGCCCAAGCTGGCCTTATAGAAGAGCAAACACGACTATCTGAGAAGGCTTTTGCAGCAACCGAGATCGCAGGAATCCAGATCCCCCAGACACACGAGCAAGCTATCAACGACCCAAAGTATGGAAAGCAATGGAAAGCAGCAATACTTGAAGAGATAATCGCGTTAATGGAGAATCGAACCTGGGAGGAAGTTCCAAAGCCAAAAGACGCGAACATGGTTGATTCAAAGTGGGTTTTTACAGTCAAAACAAATCTCGACGGGACTGTTGAGAGGTTTAAGGCACGCCTTGTGGCAAGAGGTTTTACGCAAGTACACGGAACAGACTACAACGAGACTTTCGCCCCGACAGTTCGCATGGACACCTTACGTCTGTTTATGGCCACTGTCGCAGCGGAAAACCTAGAATGTTTTCACTTTGACATCAAGAATGCTTTCACAGAGTCGCATTTGAAGGAAGAGATCTTTCTTAAGCAACCCCAGGGAGTAGAAGTTAAGAAAGGATACGTCCTTAAAGTTCTCCGCAGCCTATATGGACTCAAACAAGCTGCTCGTGACTGGAACTTGTTAATAAAGAAAGAACTTCTGGCATGGGGATTCGTGCAAAGCCTTGCCGACCCGTGCATGTTTATCCACGAAGAAAAACAACTCCGTATCCTCGTCTACGTTGACGACATTGCTGTTGCCGCAAAAGATCGAGCTCAAATTGATTGGTTCTACAAGAAGCTTTCTGGAAGATTCAACACCAAGAACCTAGGGGAGATTCATAAGATCCTTGGAGTACGAGTTACGCGAGACAGAAAGCGCCGCACAATCTACCTCGATCAAGAACAGTACATACACGCAGTACTTGACAAGTTTGGAATGTCTAGCAAACAACACAGAGACAAGAAGATTCCATCCGCAGATTACACGTCATTTAGGCCAGCCACTAACAACGACACCCGAATCGACATCACTGAATACCAGCAAGTGATAGGGAGCCTTATGTTTGCTATGGTTCTTACACGCCCAGACATTGCATTCACCCTCGGAAAGCTAAGCCAATACATGAGCGATCCAGCAGAACATCATGGCCATGCGTTGAAGAACCTGCTACGATATCTAAGGTCGACAGTAACAATGAAGCTACGCTACGGACCAGGGGGAGTACACTCGCAATTTGTCATCTACTCTGATGCTGACTGGGCAAGCGACATGGTAGACCGAAAGAGCGTTTCAGGGAGCACTGCAATGTTCTACGGAGGTCCAATATCATGGTCTAGCAAGAAGCAACGGTCTGTTGCAACGTCAAGCTGCGAATCTGAATACATCGCACTATCAACATGCTGTAAGCAAGGCCAGTGGATTGCTCAAATGTTCAGAGATCTTGGGTTCCCAAAGTACATTGGAAAAGACACCAACAAGGTCCAGATGCTAGGAGATAACCAGGGTGCCATTGCACTTACAAAGAACCCTCACCTTCACGAAAGATCAAAGCACATCGACGTCTGTTATCATTTTATCAGAGACCTAGCAGAACAAGGTAAACTCGACGTGGCCTACGTGCCAACTGTAGATATGGTGGCTGATGGAATGACAAAGCCGTTGCAGCGAGTCGCATTCGAGAAATTCAAGAACCAATTAGGAGTTGTCCTTAGACCGGACCTGCCCTGAGGGGGAGTGTTGAGAAGATGTAAGGTTCAGTCCAGGTCGGCGGGGATGAGGCTCGTGGAAGTAAGCCCGAGCAGAAGGACCGACGCGGAATGATGATCTGTCATGTAAATCCCCAGATCATCATGATAATAAGAAGACAGAACAACAGCTCTTAGTGTAGTTCAATCCAATACGTGGTGACCTAACATACCTCTACTCGGTTCCCTATGGTAGTCATACCACCAGAGGAGACCTTGTTCCAATAAGCTTTAAGTTCAACTGCAAGTTGCAGTGTAGACTCAGTCGCTGTAATGCTCTTGTTGAGATTGACTTGGAGGATTCTAATGTTGTTCAACATTAAAATCCTGCGGGGATGCTCTTTGTTACTGCTAGGTAGAGTTCGCACTCTTTGCTGTTTGTAAAGTGGAGCTCTTTGCAGTTAATACAGTGAGGGAGTGTATGGTTGCAGGGTTTTCCTTTTGTATTACACACTGAGCATTTGTGTGTTGTAGTTGCATGTTCTTCTCCGCACAAATTGCATGCTTTGAACACGTTAGATTGAGTAGTTACAGGTCATTCTCTTTCGTACTACACGTCATCACAGTCCGCAACAATCAATTAAGTGGGTCCTAGAAGGTTCAGATTGGATTGATTGATTACCGCTTTAAGCCTAGTAGTTACCTATAGGAGTTTAAGCCCTACCTAGATAGGTAAGTGGGTCTAGGAGAGTGACCGGATTGAATTGATTGTTGCGGAGTCTACACGTCATAATAACGCAACACGGAGGATCGCTTCGGCATGTAACGCTCTCAACAGTTACATCCAATTAGATCCAAGCTCTCACCTCGCACTTACATTCTCATGCAGTTGCACCTTCTGGTTTCCGTAAGCAGGTGACTTTTGATCCCATGCTAAGCCTCTCTCGTTTCATGGTGACCTTACCTGAATAGTACCAGCTCTTGTCAGCAATGCCGTGGGTCAATCTTCTCCTAAAGTCTGTCCCTATGTGACGAAAAACCTGTGTGCCGAAAATGACCAATCGGATTACGAGGGTCCAAGAGAAGTGTGTCATCTTTGCGACCCGGTTGGTCGTTCTCGGCACACGGGGTTTTTCGTCACATAGGGACAGACTTTAGTTCCTGTGCTAGCTCCTAGGATCTGGCCACCTCATCTTCTCTTGTATGACTCAAAGCACTGGAAACACGGAGTTTTAGATAGCTAAAGCAAGAAATTCGGCTCTTTCCCTTAGTAAGGCACCCTTAGCTTTTGTGGCGCAGTCGGTCGACGCAGGCCTGCAACGCTAGGCGCATATGTAGGTACAGCCTCACGTCTGAATTGCAAGGGCTTTTCTTTTGCAAAGTCGGAAATTCAACCCGGCATATGTTTAGTAGAACGTCAGAAGAGGAATACGAGAAAAAGGACGTTAAGCTTGGTTAGAGTAGTTGTATCTGGTGGGTGTAGCACTCCGACATGAACTCAACATTGGTATGAGAGCCATGGCCGTCGGGTATTAGGACACGACTGCGTGATTGATTGTGAGTGGTTTCCGGTATAAAAACGCGGCGTAACCACTCAAGGCCTGTACTGTTCGAAGCCCAGCCGTTTTCTGACGTTGCATACAGCCAATCTGGTATAGATTCTAACGGGAACTAGCTGGCTTCGAGATGCTGTCCCTTGAATATTACTACCGGGCGTAGCGTGTGGCTGGTAGCCAAGACGCACTCAACTATCGATATCCACTCTCGGTTTTCTGGAGATTTCCGGTAAGTTTTTCTTTTCTTAGATGAACTTAACGCCATGGGGTTGTTGCAAATGCCTATCCTAAGTCCAGTCTCATCTATACTGTATATATCTTCCAACAAGATGTTGTACTGGCGTCGGGTGTGCTCAAAGAGCTCGATGAAAGCTCGAATCGCGGTCGGATCGGCTGCCTCAGCTCGGGCGGCATGGATAGATCTACCGACTACCGAATGGGTCCGCTGGTTCGCCGGAGGAACTGGGATACCCAGCCGCGCCCAAACGGGCGGTCGTCACCGTTCATGGCCAGCAATTGGGTCGCAACAGCTCGTACTATAGAATGGGTGGGCGGCATTGCGCGCTGATCTTCGATTAGAATCCAATCGACTATTTAGGTGCTGTTCTTGTTCGGGAGTTAGGCGCTGCTGTAGCTGGTGGGCGATTGCGTAGCGCGTTGCACCTGCCTAGCAGCGCTGCAGGGTTGTTCTGGGCACATTGTACGCTCTACTTCCTGCCCGGAGGCTCGGAAAAACTCTTACATTGCGATCGGCTAGCGCACGTTGTATAGATTGCTCATTTATAGGCATTTTAGTCGTGTTGTGGTGGAGTTGTATAGCTTCAAAAGTGGAAACGCGTGGTGGATTGGGTGGTTGGTGGGTGGATGGCCCGAAACCACCGGTGGCTCGGAACTCTAAGTACCCTACCGAGCTTAGTCATTTCTCAATAAAGCTTTCCGTCTGATAACTATGTTCTCGGTTGTTCGTCCAGGTGACGGATAATATTAGTCTAAGGTCTTAAAACCTTCTCTATATTGATTTAGTATAAGATCTTTCCTATAACTAGTTAACGTATCTTGTATTTATGTTTCTGTGTAAGCTACCTTACAACTTAAATTCACAAAGAAGCGCAAATCGTTAAAAACACGACTCTAGAATGCAGATTTTCCTCATGGACCTACTTAAGAACGCTAGGATAGGTAACACTGTTATCATCCCTTGGCTAGTAATCTGTTTTGTCGCTGTAAGCATCCACCGATTACTATAAATTAAAAGGACCAGACGGTAATATTTACTGACGCGAGAGACCTAATGGAAGGTTATATGCTGGATAGTACATAGGGCATGGTACCATCCTTTAGCAAAATACCCTGGTCCCGTGTTAGCAAGATTCACAAATCTATACAGCGCGTACCATGCGTGGAGAGGTGACATCCATCGGGACATACTTCGTTGTCATCTGAAATATGGTTAGTATCTGCTAACAATTCCATCACATTATAAATCTCATTAGCTGATGTGCCCTAGGTAGTCATGTACGTTATGCACCTAACCGCATCCTAATTAATACGCCAGGCGCCCTCCGTGGTAAGATGAAGATCCTTGCATGTGCTGTAAATCGTTCTTTTATATTTGTTGCTTACATGTGTAGATATTTACGGTCAAGGCTCGCACGTGCGTAAATCTACAACGTATCGTGTTTTATCATCGCAGGCGATCAATACTCTGACTATGTCTGACAAAGTGCAACATGCACATCGCCGGAGAATATTAAGCCAGGCATTCTCAGAGAACAACCTGAGGGTGCTAGAAACTACTATCCAGGAAAGAATTCAAAGATTTTGTAAGGTTATAAATGACCAAATCTGCCTAGGATGCGAGAGTGGCGATGCGTGGTCGGATTCGATCAATATGGCACACTCATGCAAGTCTCTCATCCAACTTCAATTTTTACTTCCTAAAAGTTCTAACATTAGCGAACATAGTTACTAATCTTGCTTTTGATGTTATAACGGCTGTGACCTTCGGGTTAGACTACCGCACGATGGAAGAACCACATTTTCGCTATGTAGTGGAAGCAATCGAAAAGTCAAACGTACGGCTGGGTGTACTTATGCAGGCCCCGGAGCTGGCTCTTAGCAGAGGGTTTGATCGACAACTATTCTTCAAAGCTAAAGAAGGTGGAGCTAAATTTGTTAAGTTCCTGCGCGAGCTTTTGCAGCAACGCCTTAAAAAAGGCCCGGCAGGCCCTGTCAAGGACATTTTTAGCTTTCTACAGCAGTGCAAGCATCCTGACTCTAGTACTGGGTTAAGCCCGATAGAAATCAGCACCGAGACAGCGACATTTATAGTAGCCGGTAAGTTCCGCCTCTATTCTTATGTATAATACTAAACGTTCTTCTCTCTAACAATACGTTGCTAGGAACTGATACAACGTCTACAGCGATGGCATCTCTATCTCACTATTTAAGCTGGTCACCACGATGCTATTCACGTGCGAGAGAGGAGGTACGGACAATATTCGATTCCGAGGGCGACATAGTCTTTGGTCCCAAACTCAATTCGTGTGTATTTCTTCGGGCATGTCTCGACGAAGCGCTGCGCATCACGCCTCCTGCTGGAGGGCCTCTCTGGCGAGAAGTGGAAATAGGTGGGACCCAGATCAACGGAGACTATATACCAGCTGGTTGCGAGGTTGGTTCTGGCATCTATGCTATGCACCGCAGCCCCCAAAATTGGTCCGATCCGGATACTTACATACCCGAGCGATGGCTTCCGAACAAAGGTGCAGCAAAGTCCGAGAATCAAGAGCACAAAAATCTCCGCCAACCATATTTTCCTTTCAACATTGGGCCACGTAGTTGCGTTGGAAAACCTCTTGCAATCGCACAGATCATGTTAACATTTGCTCATCTCCTCTGGAAATTCGACTTTCGCATAGCTGATGCCGAAGAGCTGTGTTCTACTATTGATGATATAGTACCGCCTGAGTACATGCTCCAGGATTATATATCAGGCCAGAAACACGGCCCTATCTTACAATTCTGTTCTCGTTCCTAGAAACGCATTTTAAAGGGAAAAATCTCGGTCAGCTTAAAGCAATTACTATGCCAGCGATTGTTTATTATCTAGCATAACTAGTTAGTTTCTTACGTGATCTATTACATCAGGATTCGTAGTGCATAATTACGCTTGCCTTGTTAGATATGAATTGACCTAGCCTATCCTTGCTATGCCTCGCCCATAGTTGTGAGTTTGGTGTGTATTTCTTAGGGCTATGTAACTCAGTACTAAAATGGCTGTAGATGTGTAAATGACAACGACTACTTTCACCTTTATCTTGTTAACTCGACTGAGATAACGATGCCGTATGGCGACACTAATGTCACACGAGTGACTGTTGTACAGGAACAACCAGCTGACCAGGAGTTATAGTTCTAGCTACTAGGAGAGAAAGTTGCTGTAGATGGTATCTAGAAGCATTACAATATCTTAAACCCGAAGCGCGATCTGTCGAAGCTCGAAGAGCTGACCAAAGCAGTACCTAGCAATGTGAGAACTTATCAGATAAGAGGCATAAAAAACTAAAGTATACAAACACTGTATCGTGGACGGTACTACTAATGTATTGCCTATTGTCGCAGTCTATGCAAGACTGCAGAAGCAATGAATTTAGCTGAGCCAAAGCAACAAGCCGCTGTAACAGCAACAAGGTGGCACTGCCTCAACAAGAAAAAGCAATAGCTATACATTAGAGGTAAATGAAGATAGTTGTTGCACGCGTGGGTGAGGTGAAAAGTTAATTTGTATTTTTACTAGCTTTCTAAAGTCTGCGCTTATGTGACGAAAAACCCTGTGAGCCGAAAATGACCAACCGGATCGCAAGGATGATACTCTTCTCTACGACCCTCATGATCCGGTTGGTTATTTTCGGCACACAGGGTTTTTCGTCACATAGGGACAGACTTTAGTGATTTTCTCGCTACGGGGTGATGGATAGTAGGTGTCATAATCTCCTCAAGATTTTCAGTATGCGCGCAGAAAGCGAAGTGTTGAAAGTCAAAGTACCCCTCTCATTTGTTCCAGCACGGCAGGTATCCCAGCACTCAGGGAGAGACGTTAGATATTTCGGTCTTCTTCGTGCACAGTAAAAAGCCATCCAAACTCGTCGTAGGCCTTGCCCCGTTGGATGGCGCTCAGTTGATTCAACAACGTGGAAAACACTAAACCACCCTTGTTTTGTTCTTCGGATAGATATGTAATAATCTCAGACTCAGCCTCAACTTGGAGGCGTGGAGTGCTAGGCATTCCTTGTGTAATAGATCGTCGAGTGATGGATTTGATCGGTATTAGGACCACTGAAGTCCCCACTCCAAGGACTTCGCTAAAAGAGGGCAACTCTTTGTAATCGACAGGGCGCTTTTCCACCTTCCATCCCAATTGTTGAGCGATATGCTGAACACTGTCGCTCGTGACGCTATCGATTGTGCAACGAGAGTCAGGTACCACTAATGTTATGTTTGAATCGCCCTGGGAGTGCACGCCAATGAATGCGCAAGAGCTAAACTCATCGACCTCTTTGTGATGCACACTGTCTAAGTGTAGTGTGATACCAAATCCTTCTGCGCGTGCCTTGTCGCTCCAACGAATTACGGGTGCATAATTTCCACCCACCTTTGCGTGACCTGTACCCTTTGGTGCTGCGCGGTCAAAATCGTCTAAGATAAGTGCCTTAACTGGCTGTGTTCCAAGGTGGGCACATGTTGTCGGAACTACAAAGACACAGAATGTATACTCACTTGGTGCACTGAGTCCAAGGTGAGCGCTTGTCCCATACAGCTGCGGTCGAACATAAAGCGCTCCCCCGGACTCATACGGTGGAACGTAGTTAGCGTTCAGAGCTACAGCAGCCCTGCAAGCTCGGAGAAACATCTCAACGGGGACAGGCGGCATCGAAAGGACGATGCTTGAATGCTGAAAGCGGATGGCGTTGAGGTTGGGACGGAACAGGACAATTCTACCGGGATCGCCAGGCGTACGGAAGGCTTTGAACCCTTCTAAAGCCTGTTGGCCGTAGTTCAGAGCTGGCGACATGCCGTGGACGCGCATATAAGGATCTGAAACGAACTTAAGAGGTGTCCATTCCCCAGTGGTTTTCGAGTACGTGGATTCAATGTGACCATTTACTACAACTATAAGTCTTTTATTTTCTAATACCTAGTATGCACACACCTTCATATACTTGACGGTTATTGTCGGCTTTGTTCCAATCAATAGTAGCTACTGGAGGAGGCGGAAAACCCGACATGATAAATTGTAGTCCTTAGTATTCTCTTAGTAGCTTGTTACTCTTACGGCAAAGATTAGTTAAACCACTTGAATATAAATCTAGATTTCGTACTTACTAATCAATTACTATGAAGGCAAGCGAGACAACGAAATACGGAACAACGAATACAAGGGGGATAAGCTGAAGCCTTAGTTATAGTAGCCGATAGTGTAGAGTCGATATGTAGGGGATAATAAACCAATGTGTAGCTCGCAATTATCTGACTTACATTGGTGTTGACTATGGAATTAGTAGCTTTGTATTATTAGTATGAGTAGTAGAGTACGGCTAGTGTCACGGTAACGGCTAGTGTCACGGTAACGGCTAGTGTCACGGTAACGGCTAGTGTCACGGTAACGACTAGTGTCACGGTAACGGCTAGTGTCACGGTAACGGCTAGTGTCACGGTAACGGCTAGTGTCACGGTAACGGCTAGTGTCACGGTAACGGCTAGTGTCACGGTAACGGCTAGTGTCACGGTAACGGCTATGGTCCCGGTCAAACCATCAAGAACTGCCGTGTACTGTTGTCAGATTGTGATGGGTTATCAAAGACGGGGATAATAATCTAATAATATGATAGGGATTGATTGTATTATTCTGGTCTGATGTGGTGTCGTATTGTGTTGTTTCTGATCCAACGCAGTTCGATCAGTTGGATCGCGGTGGATCGTGCGCGCTGACTAATTTTAACTGATCCACAGAATCTGGGTGCTCCGAACACCCAGATTTTGTCCACCACCCAAAATATGCCCATATTCTGACAACTGTTTACCTAGTACCGTCCGACACTATCATATCCTGTAAGGTACTATCTCAAAAGCTACCCAATCTATAATAAGCCCTGAGGTAGCCGTATTAAAAGTCTATGTTTCGGAATACTGACTTCCGGCTGTAACATAACCGGCTACATAGTTTTACATACCCTAGTTAATCTAAAGAGTGAGAAATTACTACTAGCCTCAGCTATATAACATGTTTCCTTCTGGTCAAAATTCTAGTAGCATTTTTTTAGGCTGAGGCTTCGTTGTTACAATCTGATCTGCCATATCTAAGCCAATCTCTTTACTCAAGGAACGACTAATCCTCTATCTTATTGAATCGTTATAAGTCACATTCTAGATCTGTTATTGTTCTTTTGTTTTCTTATCTTGTGTTGGACACAGTCTTAATATGGTCGATTCAAATCGCGACGTCGCCTATATATTTAACTCGGCCATCGCTGCCGCATCAATCGGCGCTGCCTGGGAAATTGGGCTGCTTGATCAACTCCGGAACGGAAATAAGACGGATGTCAAAGAATTTGCAGCGCAACATGACCTACATTATGACTCTATCCACGGCTTAGTCACCGCGCTGGCTGTCGTACATGTGGTCGAGTACGACAACCACACAGCCACGGCTGGCAAGCTATTTGATGAGGTCTACCGATCGAAATCCATTTTCCATTGGCTCACTCTTGGGTCAGGTGGACTCCTCTCGCGTATGCAGTACGTGGTACGGAACGAAAATCGCACAGGAAAATTCTACCAACGAGACTCGGTTGCGATCTCGTACGCTTCCAAAGACATCAGCCGCGAACATTTCGACCCAGCATTTTGGCTAGCTATGGATGGAATCGATTATAAAATCCATTCGGTCGTTGATCTAGGAAGTGGAAGCGGCGAGCGGTTAATGGAGATCCTTGAAAGATATCCTGGGACTGTTGGTCTCGGCGTAGATATCGCTAAACCGTCCACAGAGGTCGCTAGGTCCGACGCGATTAAGCGTGGCTTTGGAGATCGGTTGTCTTTTGTTGTGGGTGACGTGCGCGCATTGAGCTACCGCGACGAGTTTGCTCAGGTCGATCTTCTAACATGCTTTATGATGGGCCACGATTTCTGGCCTCGAGAGAACTGTATTGCTACACTCCAAAAGTTGCGTACTGCCTTTCCTAAGGTCCGCCGCTTTCTCCTCGGTGACGGTACTCGGATCCTACTGAACACCGATAAAACTCACTGCAAGTACTCAACCAACGTCGACAATGTGCCTATCTTTACTTTGGGCTTTGAATTTGGTCACGCTATGATGGGAGTCTATATTCCGACACTTGAAGAATGGGAAGGTGTCTTTGAGGAGGGTGGATGGCGTTGTGTAAAAAAGCATCTTATTAGGTCTTTCACGTTATCCGTAATTTTTGAACTAGAGAGGCTATAAGGACGAGATAGCTAACGTCCGTCTCTGTGGGTCGAATACCCCCCCGCAGCGAACCACCACTATCGTTCAAGCACGTTATACCTACGCAGTGGAGATTCCTAGATGTGAGTAAATAGGGACAGTGTTGCGGTTTGTGAGGCAAAGGTATTGCGCATGTCACGTGCGTTGTCCTGGCGCTCCTCCCTCCCCTCCATGAGCACTTTCTCCCCTCACCAGCATCAGAGATACGTCATGTAAATAGACCCTGATTATGGCTACATATAAGGTGGCCATGACAGCACAACAACAACAGAACACAATATACTCTGATGACTGCCTCGCGCGGTTACACTTTAATTGACTGCATTGTACTGCAACAATAAGCCTTGGGTGAGGCGGCTAGACTTCGGCTGGGTTGTTCTTGGCAGGACAGAACTTTTGAAGGGCACCTCTGTACACAGAGATACAAAATATGCAGGGAGAATCGATATGCGATTTCATAGCACCAAGCTCATAACTGTCACGGTTTGGTGATGGGACGATGCCTATCTGAGACTAGCGCTGTTTATGGTCACTCACCTACATAAACTTTCCATAGCTTGTACAATACAACCTCAGTCAATCCTCAACTTCTTCCCTATGCGTACGGTTCACCCACTCCAACAATAACTGTTGGAGCTGTGGGACTGATAGGATATCAAGCGTGAGGGATTTGATCAGATTCTGCTGTCCTGCCGAGACTCAGAAGATATCAAACTATATATTGTCAAGGATCAGTTCGCCAATGAGAGCGCTTCATCTTCCAGACCGAGCGCTCAGTCCAGCTTTGATCCATATATTCCTAGAATGATCCAGTCTGCGACAAAAATCTATTCAATTAAAACCCGAACGCCTGAACTTCCTCTTTGTGGTTGTGGTACAAAAGTATCATGTTTGATATCAACGTCAGCTCTGCTTGTTTGGTAGAGCTGCATATTGAAGGTTGTAAACAAAGTCGCTACAGTGAGATATAGATTTGACCAAGCCAAACTAAATCATTGAAGATCTATTAGTAAATAACATCTGTGGACGATTGGAAAATTTGGGAGTTGAACATTCAAACTTACTTCATCCCAACGCACTGTCTTGAACCTCTACCAAATGCTACTAGGTATTTGTTCAAAATCTTTCGCTCTTGTAGATCTGTCCAACGCTCAGGAATAAAGTCGTGCGAGCGAGGGAATATGGATTCATCGTGATGAATCATAACAGACGTCATGCCGACAGGGGTCTTTGCTATGGTTAGTGATGGAAAACGATCTAGAGTTCCCTTCTCGAGCTTACGTTTGGCGGAATTTTAATATCCTTGTAGTAGAGTGGCCCTTCTGGTGAACTCCGCTGAGAACGATGGGATAATCCATAGGAGAGCCTGAGATATAAATATGTCAGCTCTATTTATACAAATAGGTGATACAATGACATTACTAACCTAAGGCCTTCGAATATAACTCCTGTCTAGTAGATATTAGCTTGCTAGTTTCCATACTAATGTTAATTGAAGGCAACCAACTAAGTAAGGTAACTGCTCTAACATATGAACCGAAATCCCGTCATGCATTACATTTCCTAGCTCGTTCCTCAACCTATTTAGTATTTGGGGCTTGTCCAGAACATGGAAAGTGATCACTGCGAGCGTATTTGCTGTGGTCTCCGTCCCAGCTCCGATGAGGCTCACAATCTCATGGTTGACTCTCTCCTCCGTTCTTTCTTCGGGTGGAAGCCGGGCATTTGCAAGCCCATTGAAAAGAGGGGGGTGAGTTGATGGTTCTCCCTCCAAGGTATCGTCTTTGGCTTTGGATCCTTGAAAGACTGCTCTAGCGACTTCATCACACTTTTGTCTATACTTCTTGGTTCTCATCACCTTAGGGAAAGTTCGAGACACAAACCATTCAGGTAGGAAAAACAAGGGAACTATTGCCCAGGGAATATGTCGAGTAATCATCCCAATTTCCATCACGTCCTTGATGGTTTTGTGCCATTCAGGAAACAAGTCTGGAATATCAAGATAATTCCAGCATTGTGGACAAGTATACTCCGTTATAATGTCCGTCATAAAACAGGTGTAAGCATGCTCTATCATGAGTGGTTTTCCAGTCCCAGAGAACTCACGGACCCGCCCACAAAGTTTCTTCACCTTCCCCCTGAGTAATGGCTCCAAGCCCTGAACCTTCTGCTTGGAAAAATATGGAGAAATGGCTGAACGACGAAGACGATGCAATTTGTGATCGACCGTGGCAAATGTTGATTTTGGGACGTTCAGGTATTTCAAAAACCATTCGGACTTATTTCGTGGGGAAGTAAGCGAATATACAGTCTCATGATACTGAGGGTCGTTAATGTGCACCTCAAATGGGCTGATACGCACAATCGGTCCTATTCGAGATGAGAATCATGTCTCTTCTGGAAAGAAAGCAACTCACCGTATTGTTTGTGCAACTCCTGGATCTTCATGGTGAATCGGCCTCTAAGAATAACATCGTAGTAAAATTCGTATAACCTCGTTGCCGCAGCTAGTCTGGGACCTGGGATATGGGCTAGGCGCGAAAAGAACAGCCGATAAACGATGATGAGAATAAGATATCCAAGAAACGAGGTTGTTACTAAGACTGCTAGGTGCTTTTTTAGAGAAGTTGCAAACTGCCTGGAGGTCATAAAAGACTCCATGGGGTGAAAAAAGCTAATCCAGGCCGTAAGCATTTTTGAATTATTCTTGCCCATCCAAAAGTGAATTTTTCAAGGAGATAAGTACAGTGGCATGCTATAAGAGGGGAAGCCACAATGGTTACTGAATATAATACCTAAAACCTGGTATAAATAATGGCTAGCGACTGCGGCTTCACCCCTGCACGCAGCTGCACAACGGTTTTTGATAGCCCCACGTTCTGTATATGGCTTAGCGCTAGATGTCTGCCGCAAGATAGTTGGTTTGATTGGCCAGTTGTCGATCTAACGGTGACTGATTTTGTGGCATGTTACACGAAGAGGTGAAGCCACAATCCCTAATGACTGTATCAAACGTTCATTGCGATAAGAGTAAGAAGAGGCCTATGTTTAGTGCCTTCGCGTTACAGAGGTGGCTTTCAAAAGTAATTGCTGACAGGGGTGTCTTGAATTTAGCCGAAATACTACCGAAACAGAGACAGATCAGTCTCAACGTTCTCTTGGCAGACCTCTGCCTTCCTTATACTCATTCCCACCATCGAGTTCAATGATCTTTTGAACATGGATAGGAATCCTCTCTATCCATGCCTGGATCTGTGACTGTGGAAGATCACTCCAGGCCTGCTGCCATGCTTTTGTGGCCTCTCCTCTATTCTTTGGAGCGCCTTTCTTAGTAGTTCTTCTCTTCAACCATGACCACGCTGGTTCAATAGCGTTAAGATCAGGTGAGTTACCACACCAGAAGAGCTTCTCCACACCCTCTCGTTGGTAGATGAGATTCTAGGCGTGGTGAGCATGAGAGGGAGCCTTATCTTCTTGAACAAGAGTACCTAGTCTCTCTCTCATACACTTCTTAGCGAAGGGGATAAGCTTTGGGAGAAGGACCCCAGTTTGATACCGCCACCAATCAATACCACCTTTATCACTACCACGAGTGAGCTTCCCGTTCTCCTTAGTCCATCTCCATTGAGGAGCTCTACCAGGCTTATTTCTTAAGCCTATCCTCTTTATGCCCGTAGTAAGCTCCCACTCCTCTCTTATAATAGGCTCTAGAACCTCATTTATCTCATCGATCTTAAGAGCTGCATCTCTCTTCTCTTGAGCTGTCTCTGGCCTCCATACATGGGAGGGACCTTTGTAATTATACGTGAAGCAGCCCCAGAACATGAACTCAGAGTATCCCTTCCACCTCTCTCGTATCACAGATCTTGTAAAAGCCTCATCTGCCTTTCTCCACACTCGATACCCACCACGACGGTGGTTCAGCACAACAGAGGTCTTATCCGACTAGATAACGTTCTTCTAGTCCTCAAGAGTCTAGTGCTGATAAGCGAGACACCAGTCAAGTCTATCTTGTCTCATCTTCCTCGTCAACCCAGGCTTCCTCGTCGGCTTCGTCTTCTTGTA